TTACAACAACATGGATGAACCTGATAGGAATTATGTATATGAAATAAGCCAGGTAGAAAGACAAATACCACATGATCTTATTCATAAGTAGAATTAAAAAAAAAAAAAAAGGCGAACTCATAGAAGTAGAGAATACAATGGTGGTCACCAGGGGCTGGGGCTGCAGACCAAGGGAGATGCTGGTTAAAATTTGGGCTAGCCAGTGATGTGGTTGTTAAGGTGCTGGATTCCACATGGGCAACTTCATGGATCAAGTCTCTGACCTAGCAGCTTGAAAAATATGCCAAGCACATGTGTGCATGTGTGCCCCAAATCCTGAGAGAAAGGAGAAAGGAGTAGGAGGAATTATAGTGTGGTCATCCCCCGGGGGTGATTTCTTACTTTCTCTGTCTTAGGAGGAATTATAGTGTGGCCATCCCCCGGGGGTGATTTCTTACTTTCCCTGTCTCTTTGTCTTTCTCTCTGTCTCTCTCCAATAAATGCATACACCCTACAGAAAAACTAAAACAAAACAAAACCAAGGATACAAAATTTCAGTTAGATAGGAGGAATAAGCTCAACATAGTTATTGTACAACATGGTGACTGTAGTTACTAATAATGTATTTTATACTTGGAAATCACCAAGACAGTAGATTTAAAAAAATTTTTAATTTACATTTAATCACTATATATCTCTACCATGTACAACATTGCTTTTTCCAGCATGAATACCATGCATATCAGTCAAGACAAAGACATTACTATGTACATTATCAGCAGCAAATAGTTCTTTTTTTTTGGCAATTAAATGTATAGCAGAAAGAAAGAGAGACAGAAAGGGAGAAATAACCCCCCAGGGAGGGTGGCCATGCCACAATCCCTTCTCCTCCGTTCTCCTCTTGGGATTTTGGGCATGCACACATACACGCCTGGCATGAATTTTAAGCTGCCAAGTCCAGGACTTTGAACCATGGTCGACTACATGGGAGTTCAGTGACTTAACCATTAAGCCATCTGCTGGTCCCAAAAGAGTAAATTTAAAGTGTTGTCACCACACAAAAAATAAGTATGTGAGGTAATACATATGTTAATTCACTCGATCAGCCATTCCACAATATAAATACATATTTTAAAACATGTATACAATAAATATACATAATTTTTATTCATAAATTAAAATTAATTAAAACATTTTAGGTATTTGTCTATTTCTGTTTCAAGCTTACCTGTTAATCACTTTATTATTCCACTGTTTTTTTCCCCCCTGTGGGTAGATAGGTGATAATTTGGTTTTCCTTTAATATATTATCATTTGCAGGCATTTTTATGATATATTTGTAGGAAGGAATGGTATGGCTTTTCTTGGGCATGAATACTGAAGATAGAGACTGGTAACCTTCAAGCTTTTGGTCGCATGTCAGAGTCACAGGTTAGCGATGAGGTTGCCCCTCATTCTCTGAACCGGGGTTGACAGAGAGGAACAGACACAGTGTTCTTCCTCCTTCATACCTGTGTGTTCTGTTGGAAAGGCGTTTTTCCCCCACACTGGCACAGAGAAGACTCTCATAAATAGGTGAGTTAAAGTTCATTGACATGAAGTGGCATTCATTCACCCAAAACGTTCATGGGTCTCTGTAGACTTAGCTTCTCCCCAGCACTAGGTGTTCCCAAAGGATGTAATGAGAGTCCACATAGGAGCTGAGGCTGGCACTGCTGGACCCAGTGCCCAGGTCTCTGGCTTCCCTATTGAGGTGACTCTTTCGACAGCTCTTGGTCATATCCTTCACAGAACAAAAGTAGGCACAGTAGGCCTAGGCATGAGGATGGGCAAGCAGGCACACTCAGCAGTCAGAACAGACCCAGGGACCCCAGAGGGCTGACAGCACCATCTCATCACGGGCCGGAAGTAAGAGGCATGCGGGGCACATGTGGAGAGCTGGAAAGTGAGCCCCAGAGCTGTGTGTGCAGGAAGCTGAGCCTCCTTCGTGGGCAAAGTAGTTATATTTGGGCAAGAAATCTCAGCTGTAGTCACCTTGCGTGGGGGACAGAAGCTCTGCGGCTGTAGCCCCAGCTTGCGAAGGCAGCACTTGGAACAAAGCAGGATGGTGGGGCAGGGCATGAGGGCCAGATTGAAGCCCTGATAAAACACAAGGCCTTTGGAGGGGGGCAGCAGAGTAGAGCAAGGAGATGCCAGACCTCTGGCCTATTCTCATCCATTCTTGTGCTTGAGAAATCCCTTGGAGTTCTGCTCTAGCTGCATTAGAAGATAGCATTGTGGGAACAATGGATCCTACTAGAGAGGGCCTTTATTCTGTCCTGAGGCTGCCCGTGTGCAGGTAGCCACCTCTATGGGCTCATCTCCCGTGGAGTTTGTCATGCAGTTGACCATCTGGATGCCTTCTCTATTCAACACATACAAGCCAGACCCATGAATTTCTCCCCTGATAAACCCATCTGTTTTCCCTTATAAATCAGAGCCCTCCTCCAGTTGTGGAGTATGGAGGGACCTCTGCCCCCAGCTCTTTCATCCTATGGCAAGTCTTATGGCTGCTTCTCTCAGATGCTGCTAGCCCTCTCCTTCCACTGTCTACACAGACTTGGAAACAGGAAAGTGTAGTGGGGTCCCACTTTGTCACCCCAATACTACACTGTCCCCTCCCAGCAGCCAAGTATCAAAGCCTAAGCTCCTGACCCTGCAGGCCCTGCTGCCACCTGGGCCTTCGAGCAGTAGCCCTTTATTCCCTGTGCCTATGGTACACATTTCCAGATGTTCTTTTGGCAGATCACTGCAGGGTTTCACCTCCTCCCATCAGCCTGTATCTGGGTCCCCTTATTCATGATCTCCTCCCAGGCCTCACTGGTAGGGCTCTGCTGTCCCTAGGACTCTCCTGACTCCTGCTGAGTTTCCTTCTGTTGCAGCCCCATGCCAAAAGAGAATCCCAAAAATGCTTGGCATGCCTGTGTCTTGGTGACAGTGGGAGTAGGAGTATACACGCGTGTTTGGTTGTGGAACATAAGAACTTCCAGACACACTTGTTCCACCAGAAGCTGAGTCTTAAGTTCTTTCAAAGGAGCCAGACTATGGTTTCTCAAGAGCCACTTAGAGCAAGTGCCTTATAGCAAGATTTTTAGGCATCAATTTTCACACTATTGTTTTATAAATTATGTAAATCTGGCGGCCAGTGCATAGTGGTTAAGGCATTGTACTCCCTACAGTTTGAGTCCCAGACCTGGTGGTTTGAAAATCATGCTGGGTGTGTGCCCTAAATCCCAGAAGAATGGAGAAGAGCTTGCAGCACAGCCTTGATTTCTCACTTTCCCTCTCATGGTCTCTCTCTGGCGAGCACATGCGCCCTATGATAAAAACAAGAAAATTATGTAAATCTGAACATTTTACAGCACTGAGAATAATGAAAAGCTGAAGGATTATCCAGAAAAAGTAAATAACCTTGATATTAACTTTTGGCACTAGAAAAATTCTCAAATTCCTTATTTAAAGAAGTTTGCGTGCTGTGACCAGACTGGGAGGGGTTGGTGTCTTTCTGAATAGACAGACATAATCTGGTCTTCTGGGGCTCAGTGGACATCTTCTGCACTTCATCGGCTTGGTCTGCTTAAACAGGTTATGCTGAGTTCCCAGGATGCTCCTTGAGCACAAACCTGCCTTTGTTAAAGAAGGAAAGGGGAGGTCCCCAATCATGTCCTAGGTAATAAGTTTTCACAGGAGAGGGAAGCTTCACCAGGAGGAGGGATGGCACTCCCCTGTGGCTGGGGAGACAATCAAGGCATTGGGCCTCACACATGCAGGCCAGCTTTCATTGTTAAGTCAGGGTCTTCCGGGCTGTGAACCAAGGCTCAGGAGAGGGGAGTACAGGATGTAAGGGTGGCCTGACAGGCACCCAGATCATCTCCCAGAGACAGAAGCCTGTGGCCTTGGTGCCTCTGTCCAGTCCTGAGGATTGAGGAGGACTCATGGGACAAGCATGTCAATTGTCACGTGGGAGAGCAGATCCCCCTGCCCACTGGAAGCTGGCATCAGGAAGAAAGCCAGGCAAAGGTTCACTCTTATGCTAGGTATAACAGTAAAGAGAGATCCATGGGAAGATGGGGGAAGGCAGCAGAAACAGCATGTGCAAAGTCCCTATGGAGGGTAGGGAGAGGGTCCTGCAGCCAGTGTGACAGGAAGGTGGAAGTGGTCCAGGCCTAGGGCTCTGAGATAATAAGCTTGGATTTCCTGTAGTACAATGGGAAGCCTCAACAGGTTTTGAGCAGGAAATGATAGAATTTCATTTACGTTCTAGGGCTCCATCACAGGTTAGAGTGATGGGCGGAGCCTGAGAGTCTGAGAGGTTGTGGGATCCTTGGAACAAAGGGTGCCAAGGGGTACCCAGAATCTTTGTAATGTGGGTGCTATGATGGGATAGGAAGAGATGGGAGAAGCCTGTCTTCCACATCCTGGACAACACTGAATGAGAAACATGCTGAAAAAAATGAGAGGGTGTTAGAACAGCTCTGGAATTTTACCCTACAAATCTTTCCCAGACGACTCCTTCTGATCTGGGTTTAGGAAAGTTCTTTAAAATGTTTGCTAAATGCTTATTTCCTGTTCTTTTAATTTTTTCCCTTATATACTAATTAACCCAATTTGGCAAGTATCTTCCAGTATTGAGAGGGTTTAAAAGTATTTGTTTTGCAGGTACCCAGATCTTTGTTTCAATAATTTATGATTTTTTTCCTTTGAGATTGTTGCCATAGGGTACATGCGATCCCCAGAAACAGAGAGAAAGCGAGAAATCACCCCCCATCCCCGCAGGGGGATAGCCACATCGCAACCCCTTCTCCCTGGATTTTGGGCAAACACACACCTATGCCCAGCTGAGTTTCAAACCGCAGGGTCCAGGACTTGAACTGTGGTTGGAGTTGGAGTCCAGCGACGTAACCATTACTCCATCTGCTGGTCCCCTCGGTGATTTATGATTTTTAAAATGTATTGATAACAAAATGGACTTCAGAATCCTATTGCTTTGACTGTCTTAATGATTTTTATTTTTTTAGCTAACAGGGCCGTTATTTTGCCTGTCTCCACTGCCGGCTGGCAATCTCGGTGCAGCCACAGTATTTCCCTGGACTGGTCTCAGGACGTTTTTATCGCTGTCATGTCGTCCTGGGGGCCGGTACCTTCTGGGTTTCTGCAACAAAGCTCAGGTCACTCCTGCCCGGCCTAACCTCCTCACCTGCCCCGGGCCTCGTCCGGGCTAGGGAAGCCCCTGAACTTGGGCACTCCGCGATCTGGGACCTCCGTGAGCCAGGCGGCCCAAGACCGCGGCTTCTCCGGGGGTCCGGAGTCCGTCCGCCCGGGTGCCCCTCCCGGCGCGCGCCCCCCCCGCGTCCCTACGTCCGCACGTCCGCCCGGAGCCGGCGGGCCGCGCTCTGCACCTGCAGCGCCTCAGCGCTCGCTGGGAACCGAACCGAACCACTCTCATCCCCGGCAGTGCGCTCACACTAGGCCTGGCGGCGGAGGGACACTGGGAAGCGTAGTGGTGCCAGGGGCGCTGCCGAAGCGTGGAGGTGCGTGGGTACACGGGCGGAGG